ATTCACGCGCCAAAGATCCTTGTATGAACATGCGCTTGGTGCCTATCGATAACCCTTGAAATGCACGTTATTTTAAACGAGAAAGGCGCTTTCTAAAGCTCCGATAGTGCGGCGTTTAAAATTAACATACGAACGAACGGCCGTCACGCAATATGCAGGTCTCAAGCTGTGACCGACCTCTGTGTATGTTGCCTGTCGGAAATAAACTCTGTCTTTGACTTGTTTGTCGCTCTTTCCTTGACCATCCCTCCTAGTATACGTAGATTTTGCCGGCGAACAGTTCTCTATGCCATTGAAGAAGTTTTTTTGTTTCGGATACAAAACCAAAGTAAATATAAATAACGTATAGACAAAGCTAATCTTTGGATATAGAGAAAGTCTTGGGAACATGTTTATTTCTCTTTCTTTCCTTGACCATCCCTCCTATTAGATTTTGCTATCAAAGCAGTTTTTTTCTTCGCAGACATCTATAAAAAATGCAAATAAAGTAGACAAGACTACTAAAGTCGTTTGAACAGTGGGAAAGTGGGATACCCAAATCCCTTTCCAATATGCTTGTTTGTTATCGTTTCTTTAGTTCAGGCAAAGTAGCCAAGTCGACTGAAGATATAAAAGGTTTAATTTGCTTTGCCTTTTAATCCTCGGTCGATTTAGCAGCATATTAGAAATATTATATTTATTTTGGTTTTGTATCCGAAACAAAAAAACTTCTTCAATGGCATAGAGAACTGTTCGCCAGCAAAATCTACGTATACTAGGAGGGATGGTCAAGGAAAGAGCGACAAACAAGTCTTAGACAGAGTTTATTTCCGACAGGCAGCATCCACATAAGGTGAAGATCATATACGTACTTAAAAGGAGAGTAACAAACCTCAGGCGGCTGTGTAAATACGTGTAGCGGCAAGCTATAGGTGTAACACACAAATGAAAATGATAGACAATGTATAAAAAGCGAGCATTTTATGGTAACGAAAACTGCTGAATTTCTAAATCTATAGATTTAAAGAGAGTGGGTTAAAAAGTGGAATATNGGCGGCTGTGTAAATACGTGTAGCGGCAAGCTATCGGTGTAACACACAAATGAAAATGATAGACAATGTAATAAAAAGTGACCCTTTTATGGTGACGAAAACTGCTGAATTTCTAAATTATAGATGTTAAAGAGAGTGGGTTAAAAAAATGGAATATTCAAACTTTTGAATTCATCAAGTTTGAGCAAAGGAAATCATAACCGCGACCATAGTTTAAAAGATCCGAGATTGAAATTAGGATACAGGTTGCACCCATTTTCGAACGAAACGATGTATCAAACACTAGACACAGTATTTCATCAAATCAAAAAGTTCATCATCATGTACGTCGTGTTTTAAGCATTTTCTTCGGTGTTTGGATATTTGATTATACCCGAGCCTCGTTTTTATTATATTACATAAAAATGTATTTCTCAAGCTTTGTTCATCATTGTAGAATTCTTCCCTCAACATCGTGTATTTGTATTCAAACGTGTATTTGTACGTCGAAAGACAGAAATAAGATAAGTATCGTTGCCAAGTGGTTATTTTATAACCATCAGAGTCCAATAAAAGCGTGATCAAGATTGCCTACTTTCTGCCATTGTGTCTTCACAGAATGTAGTAATAACTGCTTAGAAAAAGCGGTAATAGATTGAAGTGTACGGACTTTATTCTCAAATTTGCATCAACTGAACTAACGTCATTTTTGGGGAGTGGCATTTAAAATTAACATACGGACATTGTGCAATTTAAATACTTTTGGCTCCTAAGTATACTTTTACTCAATATTTTAGAAAAAAACTTCTGATTTTGTCACTAAATTTTGCTAGTACATCTGTTTTATTTCTTATCTTGTATTTAATGTTAGGAAACCAGGATAGCAGTAGTTGTTGTAGAAGTGAATAAACAAGTAGTCAAATTCGTTGCCATATTCTGCGAAACATGAACACAAAAACAGCAACGTCATTACTGCCTGGTATCTTGTTTCTTTTTTCATTCCTCGTTAACGTTCCTACCATTCTAGTAAAGCCAATTTAACGTTTCACGTTTTAACTGCCAATGATTTGAACATTATATTATCTTTTCGGAGCAAATCGTCAGGGAGATAGCCTCTTGATCCTTTCAAAACATTTCAATAGTTTTAGCTTCCGTGTTCATTGTTTTCATCCCTTTGTGGGTTGTAAGCAGGCAATTTGTCAGTATTCAGTTAACCCCAAAATATTTCTTATAAGAATACGTTGACAGTCCGAGGGATGCATTTATGGGATCGATGGATCGATAGATCCATTGATTGATTGACTGATAAATTGACCGGTCGATCTATTGATCTAATGTTTGTCCGAGTGATCGATATAGCAGTCATTGAAACAAACGACCGGTCGGTTGGTTAGTTGGTTGTTGGAATGACGAACGGACAGACGGAAAGACGGATGTATGAATGGCTGAATGAATGCATGAATGGATTGAACGATTGACTGCATACAAACCAGCCTGGTGACAGCTGGTTTTTCCTCAAAGGGTCACTTCGCCATCGCGTAAATTAAAGGGCGGTATGGCCGTGGCCGAGTAGGGAAGAAGGCGAGACAAGGGCAGTACGTCCATATCTCGTCTCATTCCCTCAAGACTAACGAAAGCGTCTGGCCTCGTAACCACTCCTAAATTTCGAGAGAAAAACAGACTGCCAGCAATCTACATACACACCCTCTAGTGCAGAGCCTTGTATCTGAGGTCCCATCCATTTATCAGGAAAGGGACACTGGGGAGCAGCTGCGATCAGGTACTGTTTACTTTTGTCTGTATTCATAAGCCGCCTCATCTCACGAACAAAGTCTGGGTAGTATTTATGACTTCCTATCTCGATATCCAGATCGACACCGTCCATTACTGTCCTNTGATCTCCAGGATAGCAGTAGTTGTTGTAGAACTGAATAAACAAGTAGTCAAATTCGTTGCCATATTCTGTCAAACATGAACACAAAAACAGCAACGTCATTACAGCCTGGTACCTTATTTCTTCTTTCATTCCTCGTTCCTACCATTCTAGTAAAGCCAATTTAACGTTTCACGTTTTAACTGCCAATGATTTGAACATTATATTATCTTTTCGGAGCAAATCGTCGGGGAGATAGCCTCTTGATCCTTTCAAAACATTTCCATAGTGTAGCTTCCGTGTTCATTGTTTTCATCCCGTTGTGGGTTGTAAGCAGGCAATTTGTCAGTATTCAGTTAACCCCCAAAATATTTCTTATAAGTATACGTTGACAGTCCGAGGGATGCATTGCCTCGATGGATCGATAGATCCATTGATTGATCGATTAATCGATTGATCGATTGATTGACTGATATATTGATTGATTGTTTGATTGACCGATCGGTCTCTTGATCTAATGTTTGACCGAGTGATCGATATAGCAGTCAATGAAACAAACGACTGGTCGGTCGGTTGGTTGGTTGTTGGAATGACAAACGGACAGACGGAAAGACGGATGGATGAATGGCTGAATGAATGCATAAATGAATTGAACGATTGACTACATACAAATCAGTCTGGTAACAGCCGGTTTTTTCTTTAAGGGTCACTTAGCCATCGCGTAAATTAAAGGGCGGTATGGCCGTGGCCGAGTAGGGAAGAAGGCGAGACAAGGGCAGTATGTCCATATCTCGTCCCATTCCCTCAAGACTAACGAAAGCGTCTAGCCTCAGAACCCCTCCTGAATTTCGAAAGAAAAACAGACTGCCCGTAGTCTACATGCACACCTTCTAGTGCAGAGCCTTTTATCTGAGGTCCCATCCATTTATCAGGAAATGGACACTGGGGAGCAGCTGTGATCAGGTACTGTTTACTTTTGTCTGTATTCATAAGCCGCCTCATCTCACGAACAAAGTCTGGGTAGTATTTATGACTTCCTATCTCGATATCCAGATCGACACCGTCCATTACTGTCCTGTAGAGAGGAAAATATCATATTTACTACAGATACCGGTACAGGCCTGAAGCGAGTGTTTGGCTCTCTTAAGCGTGTAAAGTTTGATATCCCGACCCCTCTTGCTTCGTCCTGTTAATTTGCTTAGATAAAATGTTTGTTGGTTGTTGCAAAATAAGCCAAATGTTTATTACTATAATACCAGTACAAAAGTCACTAACCTACAACCGTACAAAAGTACCGTTTTAATGTATGGAAAAGCATCATTGTGTCATGAACGATAGAAAAACTCACTATGCATCTTTTTTAGTATGAAATATTGCTCTACATTTTGTCCGTCATTTATTTTTGTCTCTTAGGTTTCGCCGGACTACAGCATGACATGTAGCTAGGTAAAGATCTGAACGGGATTTATACAAGTAACCGAGACTGCTACAAAAAGCTTCAGAAATTTAAATTTTAACTGTCAGTCTATGAAATAACAATTTTCACTCTTTTTTGTTTTTCAATCGATCAAGCTGAGATCTGAGATTAGAAAAAATGATTGATAGCGGAAAAACCACTTCTATACCTTCACCCAGTCCCTCAAATCCAAGTTGATCTTCGCTTTCAAATGAACGAACCATAGTTAAAGATGATTTCCAGTCCGCACTGTGCAGTCTCTAGAGTTTGTTAGACTTGCCACAAGTCGACCTCATGAATTTCAGGGTAGACTTTTCAGCAAGTCTAAGAGTTTGCTTGCGTTTTTTTGTTTTGTTCCATGTAAGACATCCCAAAAGTTAAACATTTCGCAACAGCTTACATGAAGTAAATTCAAGGTTTCAAAACAACCACCATCATGGATGTGAAGCGGTCGAAGCTTTATGGTTCGTTCTTTCTCATATCACTTGATGAGACAACTTCGCAGTTGTAAAAATCAATGAAGCTGTTGAAAAAAGAATTTGAAAGGCCTCAAAGATAAGGTATGTGGTTCGCAACGAACAACATCGATTCGCATTCCGTCGAGAAACATTAGGGTGCCGAGACTGCGCAGTACGGACTAGAAATCATCTTCAAGAACGATATTCTATATGTATAAGCTTTCTGTAACCAGTTGAATATCTACAATGACCTAAATTGTTCCGTACCACAAAAATGGCCTTTTATCCTGCATGTCCTTTCCTCCAAGGAACATATTCCATATGTAGTATGCAAGTTTCTTTGCGTTTTCCGCACTCCCAAGGCTGCCATCACAGGTATCCCCGCCAAGAGATATCAACATTTTCTTACCAAGCTTCTGACAATCTCTAATCCCACCGCCGATAGTAGCGCACTCAAAAGCATCAGGGTTCTGGGTGTCCGGTGCGTAGCTGCAGTGATGGGCAAAATTCATTCCAGGAATTCGGTCTGGTCAGTGTGCGATGAAAATATATAGCTTAATATTAGCTATTGTTATTTTATATTGTTCTCTTTCCAGCCCTTTAAGGTATCTAAGACTGTCTGCACCAAATGTGGAGGGGATGTCAGGGTAAAACTGGCTGCCACCTAGATGTCAGGGAACCCATCTAGACTAACATAGCCTCCTCCTTTGGTCAAGTGTAAGTGAAATTCTTATTGTAGATTGGTGTAACAAACTGTTTAGATTCGCTCACTTTCAACTATTCCGTTTAGGCCGCCAAGCTCTAGGTGGAAATTTATTTTAACCGACCGTAATGTAAACTCTGTGTAAAACGACGAAATGTTTCGGATACATTTCAAAGCATGTTCCATTTCATACTCATACTCTGAATCATATTTACAAAACCGTCCACCACAACACGATCAGGTCTAAATGTTTTCTACTTTAATCTTTTTTTCGCAGCGGGATGAGTGGTTTCTATGAAGCTTAGATGGTTAAAAAACTTGTTCATACGAATTTCTAGTAGAGTTTACCTCATAATTATTTTCTTCAGGGGTCAGTTAAGAAAGACGTTTGTGACAAACCGCAAAGATTAACTTTTACCATCTAGCCATTTATGCACTAAAATGAAAAAATATTTGTATTCGCTGTGAATTAATAGTAAATTTTTTACTTTTGTCTTGGATTTTTTTTGGACGAGAAAAAAAACAAAAAAAATCAGAGGTGACTATAAAAAAGTTTCTATATAACACGCGCTCTGATTGGCTAAAACAGCGTGCTTTATTAGAGAACGGAGCACGGGTTGATGACGGTAAGTTGGCTTTAAACTTTTGCTTCGGAATTTTGACAAATTTGACCCAAATTAATTATCTCCTGTGACTCAGACAAACGCAGTGGAAACGAGCTATTTGTCTGCAGTAAATATGACTCACGGAGACCATTGTTAGCAACAGTAGTGTTAAAACTGTACTAAAAAACAAGTTTTGCTGGATTCCCGCCGACAAAACACGTAGCGAAATAAACAGATTCTCAACCTAAACAGTGCTTTGATAAAAGACATTATATTTGTTACGAAATTATACTTAAGAAGTAAAGCAATGACAGAAAACAACAATTGAACTGTCTCTGTTTATGATGAGAAGCTTTATTTTTATAAAATGCTCAATTGCTCAAACAACACTTACATGCAGTGTAGTAACGCTCGTTCTCCGGTCATCACAGCGAAGTGAACCGACGAGTGCTCAGT